AGGGGGGCCGGTTGGAGGGCAGGGAAAGGGGAAACGGAGGGCAAAGGAGAGCCGCCTCCTCCTCCTCCTTCCCTTTTTCCCCGCCACGCCAGGGTGTGTGTGTGTGTGTTGGGGAGACCTTGGAGGGAGCCGGCCGCGTTCACACGTGACGGCCCCGGGACGGGGCTGCCCTGCGTGTCAAAGAGGGCCGGGTCGCGGAGGCGCTTTGGACAGGTCAGGATGAGCCTCGTCCGGCTGAAACGGCGAGAAGGAGGAGGAGGAGGAGGAGGATGCAGAGCTGAGAGGGATAGGAACAGCCCCTGCCTCCCCGCCCGGTTCCTAAAAGAGATGCGAGAGAAAGAGACCTCTTTTTTGGGGGGGGTTGGTGTCTCCCAGGGTTGCCTCCCAGGCTCTCCCAGCCCGAACAGGAGTTGGGGGGGGCTTCAGGTGAGCGCGCAGGTGAGCGGGGCTCCCCTTGTCGTGGAAAAGGTGCTCCCCCAGGAAGGAAGGGAAGGAAGGAGGAAGGAAGGATCGCCACCAGAGCACCGACCAAGACAAGCAAGCAGGATGTTGCCATAGCTCAGGCTTTAAAATTAGGGTTACTTTTGGCCTGGCTGGGTTTTTTTGTTTTGTTTTGGCCTACAATTCCCATCAGCCACAACCAACCCATGGTAAAAAGGATTGCAAGAGAGTGGCCCAAGGTGCCTTCCATTTGCTTTCAATCAGAGCTGGTATAAAATAAAAGACATTCAGTAGCTGGTTAGTGGCATGTATTCTTGGACACCGTAGTAGAGGGCATTCCACCTGCTTTATATACGCTGTTCTTTGACGATACGTACAGCTGTTAAGCACCACCTTCTCTGTCTAAGGCCAAAAGTCAATTGTTCTGCTTATAATAATGGAGTCTTAACTGCAGCATAGAACTTTGTCGGCTTCAGTGCGGGATTTCTCCCGTTGTGATGATCTAAAGCGATCAAAGGATGTGTGCCTTATAAATGAAGTTTCTAGCCAAGACAACTGTATTTTTTAAAAAAAATTGAAGATACAGTGCTGAGATTTTTCATCCCACTAAACATGCTTCTGGTCATTGTATTTGAGAAACATTTGCTCTGGGAGGAAACAAACGCCACTTCTGGATGGGGGAGATGTAAACAACCAGGTGACGTGCTTGTCGGCCTTGGTTGGGTTCAAGATTTCGGACGCAGGTTAGGTGTATTCCTCCTAGAAAACATCTAGTGCTCTAGCAACAGAGTCATCTAGCCGTCGGTTAATAGGAATAGCCTGTTACAATTTCTGCAGTATCTTAACGAATAAAATGAACAGAGTTGCAGAAAGGCAGATGAGAAAGATGTGTCAGGACTGGGGAAGTGTCAGGATTGGTTACGCCGTCATAATCGGTTTTGTGAAGGCGCTTACCTGTGTCTGGCTGCAAGTGAAAACATTTTTCAGAAGATGCTTGGTCACTGAGGTGCTTCAGAATTTCCAACCCCCTGTGTAATAAAACAGTAAAGTCACTCAAAGGCCAAAAGCGCTGTTGATCTTGGAATTAGGTTGTCCGTTTTTCTCCTGTGTTCTTAATTTGTTGTTTGGCCTTGGTGGAGTTGTTCTCCGAGAAAAACTGCACTTACAAGATAGCGCTCGGGCCTGTTTGAAGATTGTACGTGTGTCTTAAGACTCTGTGATCTTGTGATACTAGTTATTCAAATCATCTTTAAAAAGTGTTTTTAGAAGAGATGGAAAAACCAGGAACCCATTTGTGCTGGCATGAAATGAGCAGACATAAATCTGAATAAAAATGATTGGCGTACATGTCCTTTTGCATGACCCTGTCATTTAGGGGAAATCATTGTCTTCTTGGGGAGAAAAGTTGCATCTGTTGATGCTTGCTGAAAGAGGTTTATGATTTTCTGGATCACTTCTCTTGTCCGAACAGGCGAGGAGGCTTAATAGCTGGGTTAGGTTGCAGCAGCCACATCATCTTGACTCCTGTTGTCATTATAGTAGGAGCGGTCCTCTAAAGAGGGATTTTGGAAAGAGCCAAAGGTAGCTCATGACCCAAGCAAGGGGGAAGCATTCCATGAAGTGTGAAAATATGAGCTGGGAAAGAGAAAACAGTCATCTAATATGTAAAACTGCTACGTAACTATTTGGCAGAAGGAAAATGTATTGAGAGGAGATGTGTGCTCCTAGTTTGCTGACTGAATAATTGCACAATGTTGTTGAGCCAATTCCTGTTAAGAATCTTGCAGGGAGCAATAGGGAGCGATTCAGGCCTTGCTTACTCATAGCGTTCATGCACACGGAAGACTCCCCTTGCGAAACAGAAGAGCCAGTTAAGTCATCTGCTAAATCTCAACCGGTGAAGTGTTAATTGGTTTGCAAGAACACTACCTGTTGTCGTCAGGAAGCTTGCAGTTGTGTCCTGTGAAGGGAAATTGATTCTATATTTTGTTCACCAGAGTAGTTCTTCATGTTGAGTGGACGTCTTCAGGAAGGCATGATGGATGATTTGCCAGCTCTCAGTTTATCCTGAGTTGGCTGTAAGCACTCACTTGTAAGGACAGGACTTTGCTTGTAAGTAGGTATTGGTGGCCTTTAATAGCCTGTTGTTTGCCAAACCTAGCATTTCAAAAGAAACAAAGGCCTTTTGCCCCTCTTGCAGTTCAGATGATGCTCAACGCAGTACTGCATTTAATGTCAATGAAATCTAATTACAAGCTGCCTTATAGGTGGAGAAGGATAACATCACGTGTTGAACCTTGAAGATTATATTTAGAAAGGGCTTAACGTTTCAAGGATGTAAAGTCTTGTTTTGTTAGCCCGGTATGGGGTTGGAGAGAAAGGGCCGTTGCAATTTCTGTCTCATGAGAAAGTGAATGAGAGGCAGGTGTGTATTAAGAGATGACATTTGATGGGATGTGTTCCCTCACCAAAGGCAGTGGAAAGCAGCTTATAATCAGAAAGAGGACTTTCTGCCAGTCCCATCATTTTCATGCTTCAACAACTATTTAAAAAAGGGAAATTAAAAAAAATCTTTTAACTGATACATTCGGCAGGGGCGGCAAACTAGAATTGAACTCTCAGCCTTCCAATTTTCTGCAACGGTACATCATTTGCCTTTGGCTCTGTGCCCAATGTTATTCCCCTGTTTGCTTGCCTGCTTGCATTTGATTCAGAAGACGACTGAAGATTTGCCTTTGTCTTTGATACTAAGATCTTTATTTCAAATCTTTATTCTCCTCCCCCCCTCAACCAGAAAACAACCCGTGTTGAAGAATAATTGAACGACCCAGAGAGTCCTTTCGAGGAAACATCCTGATTTATTAACATGCCTGCGGTGGCCTCGGTACCTAAAGATCTGTACCTCTGTACTTCGTTGAAAGATCTGAACAAAAAAACAGAAGTGAAAGCTGAAAAAATCAGTATAAAGAGGTAATGCTTGTTCAGCACCGTCAGATTGTTTCCCAGAAATAATTCAGGAGGTGGGGGCTCTTATAGGCTCTGACATGCAGAAATAGAACAACGATCACACGGCTGAATGGGTCAGGTTGCTGGGTTTGGGGGGAGGAAAGTTACATAGAGGTTCGTGTTCTGCTAGTTATAATGCAGTTTTCAGCCAGCCCTGTCTCTCGACACATTGGCAGTGTTGCTGTGAGCCGTCAGACAATCATCTGGATCCAGCTCCGACAGATCGGCTGCATCCCATTAGAATAGTGGTTCCCACCCGGGGGTTGGGGAGAGAGCCAGGTGTTCTGGGACTACAACTCCCAGAAGCCTTCACTACCAGCTGTGCTGGCTAGGGTGTTTCGAAGCTGCCATCCAAGAACATTGTGGTGATGGACGCTTGGGAACCACTGTGGTAAAAATCTGGTGGCTGTTATTTATTTTGCAAAGAAGCTGTCCACATGTCTGGTGGCTGTTACTTATTTATTTTGCAAAGAAGCTGTCCACATCTTGGAAGGGAGAAGCGGTATTCCATGCATGTTTTATCCCCTGGAATGGAATGTATCATTTATGAATTATTTAGGTTAGGTTTTAGCCTCCGTCCTGCAGCGAAAGATGCAAAACTGATGAGTGATGTTTCTTCCCCGTAGTATGCAGAAAGCACACCCTTTCTGGGGGGAGCAGAGGCAGGAAAGGAGTGGCTGTTTTAGGTAATGATCTTGCACACCTTGACTCAGGAGGCCTTCTGGGTTGAACGACACACAAAGGTCTGCGACGTGAATGCTCTGAAATATGTGCACGGAGTAGCATTCGGTAACGACAAAATGTGCAGCCTTGGCAGGAATTCATTTTACAGAAGTACCCCATTAAAGATTAAATGGACTTTTTTAAAAAAAAGAAAGAAAGAAAAGTTTCATTGTGCTTAAATGCTTAAAAGGAGGCTTGCCGGAAAGGCAACGGCTGCCCCCTCCATTTTGTGCCGTCTGCGTTGATGTCGTTAAAGGTCCATCTTTGCCTTTCTTTGCTTCCCTCTCCAGCTATGTGCAGAGTGCCCTGAAGATCTTCAAAGCGGCTGAGGAATGCCGATTGGACCGGGACGAAGAGAAGGCCTATGTTCTCTACATGAAGTATGTGACCGTGTATAATCTGATTAAAAAGAGGCCCGATTTCAAACTGCAACAAGTACGTATCATGTTCCTAGTGGCTTTCTGTATCTGCGATTCATCTCTGGCGCATCACCAAAGTGGTGGTGGCCATTATTAATGTTTTCTGCACCTCTCAGTCCCTGTTACCGCAACACGAAGCCGTTCACTGCTCCTTGTAATTTCAGGATTTCGTTCATTCGATGCTTGGAGTCACAAACATCAAAAAGGCAATTGAGGAAGCTGAAAGACTTTCGGAAAGCCTCAAACTCAGGTATGCTTTTAAGCGTCATGAGTGAATATGTGCTCTTGGGATGCTGGTATTTCTGAACCCCTCTTTCCTCTTTAACCAAAAGTTGGGCCTTCCACCGGCAGAAATTTCCATGGATTGAGAGTTAACAGCCAGAGGGTCCCATTGTCTTGGCAACAACTGACACCTCCAGAGCAGGGTTGCTCCCTGACGGTCCTTCGGGTGGGGTGGGAAGGCAGGGGAAGACCTTAAATGAATTGTTGGTGGGCTCCCCTTGGGGCCATCATCCAGCCAGCGACTTCTGTATGCAACACCATCAGCATCCCCCTCCTGCTGCAGCTCTTTTGCATTGTAAAAAAAATGGAAATAGTGCCTCCCCCAAACCCCTTCCACAACTGGTTTTTAGAGAGAATGGGCAGGCTGTCGGAAGGGGGAAGTTGCAGGGGGAAATAACCTCATACAGCGGACATGTGCCCTTGGATCCTGGCCTTCTCACTGCAGAGGGACAGACTGGAGAGACTTTGTTCATTCATGTCCAACGGCAGGGTCATTCTGATTAATTTCTTTTGAATTAGGGTTCGTTCTTTTCATACAAATTCAAGTGTCGTCTCATAGTAGTGACCTTTACCTTCCAAAGGGCATGTCTGCCTATTTTTCTTTTATTTATATATCTGTATGGTGGTAAAATGTGATCAGGTGGTTTTGGGGGTGAGGGGAAGACATGCGCCTTCTTTCACTTCCTAAATAGTTCTGTAGAACATTTGCGACCTGAGAGACAGCTCACCTCCGGTGATATCAGGCTAATTTGCAGGGACAGAAACGATGAGCTGGCCTAATGACTGTGCAAGGCAAAAATATTACCCCTCTCGAGACGTTCATGTGGTCGAATTGAATCGCCTCCTTGCTCTAGATATGAAGAAGCCGAAGTACGGAAGAAATTGGAAGAAAAAGAGAGGCAGGAAGAGCAGCAGTTTAAAAAGCAGGAATCGAAAGAGGAGGGCAAAGTTTTGGCCAAAGTGACAGAACCGTCTTCGGATCCCAAAGGAAAAAATCAAATGGTACTCGGGTTCCCTTCTTATTGTTAAAATGTTTTATACAATTCTTAGATTAGAAATATTTATAGAAGTTGGTTTTCATTTGTTGTCAGCTAAAAAAAGATCACTTGACATTGTGAAATCAATATGACCAGGTGGCTTTTGTTCCAGAATAACCCCGAAGGTTACCTGTTTTGAATTCTACTTGTTTTTGCTCAGAAGGTTACCAAACTGAGCCGTCTTTGTCGGTCCATCTTAAGCCTGTGAAAGTATAAATTGACTTCAATGCTGAATTTCTTTTAGAGTGATTGATTGATCCTTTTTTAGGCTGCATTAAAATCATGAGGCTGGAACATGCTGCTCTGTCAGTACTCAAATCTGGCCATGGCAGGATTTGGGCGCCAGCTGCTGTGAGTTACCCCTGAATGCAGACAATGGCCTTTGGAGGTAGTGTCTGCTCCTACCTGGAAACTAGGTCTGTTCCAGGTAGATAAACGAGACTGCTGAACGATGCAGACAGTGAAGGCAGCAGCTCTCCATCTGAGCTCAGGAAAATCTGGTTTCTGCTCTTTGCAGTTAAGTGACCTTGGTTATGCCAGGATTGCTTTGCCTGAACCCGTGTATGAGGTTGATTCTTTCTCTGATAGAGTCTTCCATATTGTTGCAATTGAAGGGAGGCAAAACAAGGAAAAGACATTGCAGGCAGAGGTAGGAATTCGCTCCCCCTTGGACAGCATTCTGCCGAGACCATTGAGTGGACAGAAGAATTTGCTCTCGTGCAAATCCTTTCTTCTGTACCTTCTTAAAAGTCCTGGTATCTTTATCAGCCCAACAGCATCTGATTTTCTTTGGACCTCTGTGTCTGGCAGCTGTTTCAGAAAGGCGCCGTTGTGTAGGAAAAGTGTCCATGTATGTGTGAATTAAGGGTGGAAATAGATGTGCCTCTCAAGCATGCTTTAAAAAGCTTAAAAGCCTTTCTAATTCTACATTATTATAGATCAATGGTGAGAATAAGCGTTCAGCAGAAGAAAAGGAGCCCTCTGAAACCGGTAAGTGACACGGCTCTCGGTTCAAGGTCCCTGTCGTATAGGACACAGGCCTGAAGAAGATTGTGAAGAACTTCAGAGAACTCCTAACATTTCAGCTGATTTTCACTAAGATGACGCCACCAACCCACCATGGTCTCACAAACGACAACCTGTGGGTTGTCTTGGTTAAATTGTGGCTCTGGGGAACTGTCTGCCTGAGTTTGACCTACCTAATTTACATACTGCCTGTTTCTGTTTACAGATTAAAACAGTTTGTATTCCTTTATATCACTTTTTGTAAAGTAGTCTCTCTCTCTCTTTCTCTCTCTTTTTCTCTTACAAGGATCTATCACAGCAGAGAAATTATTTACAATGATGATGGACAAAAGCCTCAAGTTGATGATCATGGATGCCCGAAGCCTGAAAGATTATCAGGAGTCTTGCATTATCAACTCTGTCTGTGTTCCAGAAGAAGCTATCAGCCCCGGGTAGGACCATAAACTTTCCCCATAGAAAGTCCTGAGCCTGCATAACAGATTAAAAGGTTAACCTTGATCATGGGCAGAATGATGAAAATATGAATAGGTGATGCCTGTTTGCCTGGCTACAATGAAAAAAAGTTTAAAGTAGACATGGTTTTCTTTAACTTTTTTTTAAAAAGTACTTAATTGGCCTGTGGAATTTTTGTGCATGGGATGATGTGATGGTCACCAGGGGTGTAAGTGGATATTTAAAACGTCCAAGTAAATTATTTGGCTGTACTCAAACTCTTGGTAGTAAACTATGCAAAGTTCAGTAAGACCGATTGGGTGGTCGTGGCTAGACCAGGGATACTCTTGGTGTTAGGATACTCTTGATACGCCCTTGAGACGTTCCGCAGAGTGTACTCCTTTCGCAGGCCGGAGGAGAAGGCGATTCCTGCCCCCTCCCCAGCGAGGGACAAACAGCCTTAAGTCTTCCCTTTGTGTTTTTCTTTTGCCGTTGCTTCGCATTGCAGCGTGATGGCTAGCTGGATCGAAGCTAGACTCCCAGAAACGTCCAAAGAGGCCTGGAAAGAGAGGGGGCAAGCCCACTTCGTGGTTCTGCTGGACTGGTTTAGTTCAGCCAAAGACCTGGAATTAGGAACACCTCTGCGGAGCCTCAAAGATGCACTTTTCAAGGTGAGCAAGCAGTTTTACCTTGCTATGGGCCATCTCACGTCTGGTGATGAGAGCGTGCGGGCCTGTGACAGAGATTTCCTTCACGAAGGAAGGTGGCCCATGGTTCATTTGGGATCATCAACCAAGGTTAAGACAACCAAGTTTGGCTAAGCATGATATCCACTGGGCCCCTGAATGAGGAGGCAGTGAACGGCACCGTGCAAAGCTTCGGGAAAGTTCCAGTTGCAGCCGCCCCCTTTCGCAACACCAGTACGAAATAGAAAAAGCCGTGTTTGCTCAGGTAGTGAAGAAAAATCAACACGATGGGTCAAAATAAGCAGGCAGAAGACACCGGGGTGCGTATTAGGCCGAGTGACTCGTGAACGACTGTCTGCACTCCCAACTTCCAAACTTTTTCTCTCTTTTTTTGGGTAGGCCATGATTTTTGTATAGCTTTGCTCCCTATACATACGTTAAGAAAGTGAAGTCAGGATAGGGAGTTGGTCTTTCCACGCTTACTTGTATCCTCGTGTCTCGTCATAGGACAGGGCTGAGGATTAGGAACTGTGAATCTTGTTTTGGATTTTGTAAAATGTTTTGTCCTCCGTTTCCAGTGGGAAAGCAAAGCCGTGCTCCAGCACGAACCCTTGATCCTGGAAGGGGGTTACGAGAACTGGCTCCTTTGCTATCCTCAGTACACATCAAATGCCAAAGTAACTCCTCCTCAACGTAGGAAGAATGAAGCAGTTTCTGTCTCTTGTACGTATCAAAGACACTCTTCCACTGTTGGTAGGAAGCTTTCCCAGTTCTCCTATCCTGCCAAATAAGCAAACAAAGCTTAAAAAAAAAAGTAAACAGAAGTGGGTTACATCTATGTGTAAAGTAGAAGCGTACATATGTCTTTGTAAACCTAAATAGTGCTTGTTCCCAACTAATTTGGGTTCAGTATTGGGCAGCAGAAGGAAAACTCCGTTTTATTCCATTGGAGATGATGGTGCTTTAAAAAGTGAAACCATAGAATGATGCCTTTTTTTTATCAATATAAACAAATAGTTTGCATTTCCAGCCCTTTGAGCTTATAGAGTATATAGTGTCTTTTAACTGTCTTGCAAAAGTGTCAAGATTTATTCATTCTTTAAAGCATCATCTTTCTGCATCTTTTTGAGTGGATCGTACATCAGGATTCAAGTGTCTTCTTCTTGCGTCTTTCTCAGTGGATTTCACTTACCCGTCGTTGGAAGAGCCACTGCCACCTCCACTGCGTGTTGTCCGCGTAAAGCCTTCTGTGGCAGAAGTGACTGAGAGACAGGATGATGGAAAGGATCAGGAAAAAAGCACGGAGACCTTTGAACCATCATCCCCTGCTGGATCGGTTGCGGTTCCTCGTAAGGGGGATGATTTGTCTGCCGCTGTCCAGCCGGCCGCCCCAATGAAGGCAATTCCTCAGGTGAGGGGTTCTTGGATTTCCCAACGTCATCTGCAAGGGGAACAACGATGGGCCATTCCAGTCAGCTGGACAATCTGGAATTGTCAGGCCTTTGTTGTGGGACAGCAGGACGGAGAAACAGCGCTGGTAGGACAGCAAACCAAAGGGTACGGATAAGTTGATGGTGTTGTAATCAGGAGAGAACGGCCGCAGTTACAGAGATGTGAGACTTCTGCTGAATCTAGTTTGTTGAATCCTTTCCAAATTATTCAGCCCTCCAGGACAGGTATTTAATCATCTGTGGCACCTCTGTCTGATGGAGGGATAAGAGATCTGTTTAGTCTTGTTTAAATAAAGAGGAGCCAGAGAACGTTGTAAAGATATTGTAACCTCCCCTAGGTAAGTGGAGACATTGGGGTGTGGTTGCAGTGGGGGGAGAATGTTGAAAAGATGAATAATAACATCCAGATCAGGCCCTGAATGCATGCAACTTGCAATGCATCCCCAGATGAGTTTATATCATGCCTACCTCAGGGTCTTTAACCAGGCTGGAATGTCTTTGTAAAACTCAAACATGTGAGTAAACAATATCACAGCAAGCGAATCCGTCAACATTGTTCCTCTCTTTATTTTTATTTTTTATTTTGTCCTGTTCAGGTTGATCGAACGAAAAAGCCTTTATCGAAAATTTCAGATGGTGGCGATAAGCCAAAAGCTGAAAGCCCAGCCGTTAGTAAGAAGGTGGTTTCAAACGGGAAAGTGGTTCCAGATCGTTCCACAAAGCCGGCCGTGGATACAAAAGCCGGCCTGACGGAGGAAGATAAAAACCGTATGCCTGCGGAAAAAGTTTCTCAGCCGGAAAAAAACAAGCTGGAAAAAGAGCTGCAGGAGAAGGAAGAAGAAGAGCCGAGGGCGGCGAAGCAAGAGCCGGAGCCGAAGGCACAAGAGGACCAGGAAGAAAGGGAGGGCCGTCGGGTGTCCCCCCTCCAGAGGGAAAAAGAGGAAGAGGCAGACAGGGCGGCAGGTGAAAAGCAAGACGCGGATAAAACCTCTAAAGACTTAGCGGACGTTAAAAAATCGGGTAAAATTGCGAGTGAAACTTCTGACGTGAAAAAAACGGACACGGACAGAATTGCCGCGGGCGAAAAAGAAAAGGTCAGGTGGACCCCAGAAACGCAGAGGCGCAAGTTGGCGGAGGAAAGCCCTGCCTCTGTTCCTGGCAAGGTGAGCGGTCCAGCCTCAAAAGAAGGGAGAGCCCGCTCTCTCTCCTTGCCCAGTGGTGTCTTTCCAGGCCTGTCTCTGAAAGGGAGCCGTTCGAACAAAGCCAGAGACTCCCTGGGATGGCGTTTCAGCGCAGCAAGATCCTGAGGCGGAGGGAGGGGTCCGTCTCATGGCGCTCATGGCGGAGTCCAACTGTCTACCCAGAGCCCTTGGTGGGGGAGAGTGCGCAAAGCAGGGTCTTTAAAACTGGCCTAGCGCCTTCCCCGTAAGCTTTGGATTTCGTGATCTCAGAGGAAACGGAGATACAAACAAGCAGCCTTTTTGGTTTTTCAGACAGTCCCTTCAGTTAGTAATTAGTAAAATAACATCTTCAGGGTGGATGAATGGGCACGCTGGAAGATCAGGGAGGTAGCCCTTGGTTTGCCCCTACGCTCATGGATATTATTCTTTTTAAAGATCAGGAATGTCATAATAGTTTGATTTCCAGCTACTTAGAAATGTAGCTGTTGCCCCTTTCACATCGCAGGAGTAGCTATAGTCGGCCTACTTATATCTGAGATAAGGAAGAGGGAATTTCTGTCCAGCGCAAAATCCTTTTGGTTAGCATCCTTTGCTTAAAATGTCTATTCATGATCCCCTCCCCCCAAAAAATTATATCTGTGTGCAGTGTGTCTTTGTTCTTTTTTGTATGCAGGTTAGAATACATTTTTTAGTTTCTTCATATAGTAGTAGCACAAGGCATTCAAGCTTGCTAAATTAAAGTAAGAAAACTGAAGTTTTGCTTTCAAAATCTTTTACAGCAGACTGAGGTTAAAGAACAAGCAGAAAGAGAATTTCAAAAGCCAGGCGCTGTTAGAGAAGATACTGAACAACAGTCTGAAAAAAACAAAGTAAATGCACTGTGATGTGCATGTGTCGTTGGCAGTGTCATGCCATCACCTCATTTTATATCTGTTGCCATTTAACTACATTTAGGGCGCATGTAACCACATAGATGTTTTATTTTATATGTGTCATAAAATAGCCATGGTTTGCTAGCACATCCAGTGAAAATGTCACTGTCATTGTGTGGTAGTTGCACAGTTGCCTGCATGTGTTAGACTCTTTGTTTTAAACCTTTAAGATGAAAGGGGAAAAAAGAAAGAAAGAAAAAGAAAAGAAATTGGTTGTAAAGCTGGGGTTGCAAAAATGAAGCCAGTGTATTCATTGGCTTCCGCTTACCAAGATGCAGCTATTTAACCAGCAACCAAAGAAACACAACAACGGAGAGGTTTTGCCACATATTTAAGACTGACACAGTTTTGTGCCAGCTTTTGGGATCGCAGTGCACTTCTTCAGATAAACTGCAAGGCCGGGGTTTGTGTGTCCACCAGAGCTGATTCTAAACAGCCTTTCGGAAATAAGCAAGCAAAGAGCCACAGAAGGCTAGCTGGTGGACAACGTGGCCTCCTTCCATCCTTTGGGCAAAACTGTGGGTCTACGCGCAGTTGTGTGTTGTTGAAATGAATGAAGATAAAATCCGCAGGAAAGGTGTGTTCTACTCTAGCCACGTCCCTTTAGGAGACAACCCGCCATTCCCACAGGAGAGACTGACCTGTCCCCATTACCTCCCCTACCATCCCGTCGCTGCCCCTTCTAGGACAGGGAACTGTGCAAAATGCTTCCCCTCGGAAGTTTCTTAATCATCCCCAGATACTGTGTACAACTTGCAACTGTTTGTCCCGTCTCCACTTACCAAGTTTTCTGTGTCTTTCCGGTTTGATTTTCCTGTAGTGTGCCAGAGCTGGCCCAAACAGCCATGACACCTTTCCTCTTGGGGGTATAACTCTTTCTGTTTTAAAGCAATATTCATCATTCTCATTTTCGTTTATAGTCCCAGCGGGAGCCACTGACCAGAGCCCGGAGTGAGGAGATGGGCCGAGTAATCCCAGGACTGCCTCATGGTTGGGCGAAGGTAAGGGTAGCTTCCGTTACTCTTTCGTAGGACCCACTTAGTCTCCCCTTACTGTTCTTTTCACATCGGTCCGTGCTGTGAAGCCTCTAGCAACCATCGTGACTGTCCGTATATCTCTTTACGGAGTTGAGAAGAGAGACACCACCTGATAACGTTCAGTAACAAAAGCAACTTTATACGCCATGTAATATATTTCCTCCTGTTCAGGTTGTTCTGCTAAAGCAATAAAAAAATAACTTGTACCAACATCCATCGTTACCGTTGTCACCGTTATCAGCAGCCATGGGCAATGTATGCCCATTAACAGTAAATTCTGTTTCTTACAGAAAAAAATAAAGTAAAAAAAAAATATGCAAAACAGAATTTAAAAACTCATACGGTAGCCAGTGAGACTCCGGCCGGACAGCACAGAGCTACAGCTGTTATCATCACAAATTTCTTCTGGGTTCACGCGGCAGTGGCTAAATTAAACTTAACTCTTCCCCCATAAACTTGGCCAACTTGGAGGAGTCACATTAAAAAAAAAACCCTGAGTAACGACTCAAACCAATTAATCTAAGTTTAAAAAGTTGAAAGAGGATGATTAAAGGTTAATAGAGAGAGGAACCCAGCTGCTTTTGAGTACAGACTTTCTGAATACAGGCCTCGGGTCTCATCATGGTATTGTGTGATCTTTCGAAGGTTGACCTAACCTCTTCCCTTCCTTTTTCTGTCTGCTTGTGTCACTCGAAGTTTCTTGATCCAGTGACGGGAACATTTCGCTACTACCACTCGCCAACCAATACCGTCCACATGTATCCACCAGAGATGACTCAGTCGGCCACTCCGCCTTCCACTCCACCAACCCACAAACCAAAGCCTCAGGCTGCCGATCAGCGGGAGAGGGAGCCGTCCAAACTCAAACGCTCTTACTCCTCGCCAGACATAACCCAGGCTATTCAGGAGGAAGAAAGGAAGAAGATCATCATCACCCCTACCATCAATCGTGAGAATAAGTACGTCTCTTACCATTTGACCCCGACCAACACCCATTTTGGCTTATAGGCCACCGTGTAGTAGGCTGTCATTCTAAGGGAACATGTAAAAGAGTTACATGGACGAAGCGAATATTAACTTTGCCCAGATCACCTCCACATCTTCAGCGTGTAATATTCAAATTTAAACGTATACGTTGTGTGTGGGAGGCCGTTTTTAACCAAGAGAGGGAGAGATCGGCTTTTAAAACCAGCGAGTTACCACTCAACTGAAACAGCAAACGCTGAGCTGAGAATTGCATAGAGCTCATTTAAACAGTTCTGGAAGCCACGGTAGAGAATCGGAATACTATGGAAAAAGCCGCCTTGGGTCCTTTTAAGGAGAAGGTTCTGGAAGCCACGGTAGAGAACGGAATACTATGGAAAAAGCCGCCTCGGGTCCTCTTAAGGAGAAAGCCGGGGTAAAAATAGTTTAAATCTATAAAATGAAATAAACGCAGGGACAAGAGCCAAATTATGAGCAGGCCTCTTCACGGCTAAAATCACCTCCTTCCTTACAGGCCAGTCAGCTACCCGAAGGCTGAAATCTCGAGGCTGTCTGCATCTCAGATCCGGAACCTCAACCCTGTATTTGGAGGCATGGGGCCCGCCCTCACGGGCCTTCGTAACCTGGGCAACACGTGCTACATGAACTCCGTGTTACAGTGCCTGTGCAATGCGCCACACCTGGCGGACTATTTCAACAGAAACTACTACCAAGAGGACATCAACAGGTAATGGGTTGCCACCGTTCGACCACCCTTGAGTGCAAAAAGTGGGGAAGCAGCCCTTTTATACACTGAAGGCATCAGGCGGCCTCACCTGAGTGAAGGCATTGTCTGCGGGCACCCCCAGGGAGGGCACCTGATGCCATACAACCTATGAGGACGAGCAACCCTGGATCGTAACGTGTATGAAACAAACAGCAAAAGAACAAGTTCCCAGCGAGGATATGACAGACGGCAAGTGTGTCATGGGAAGCTAAGCCATCAGCCATCCTGCACAAACCCCTTCTGGGACAGCAGACTTGACAAAACACGGAGCAGCCCTCCCAGAATAGGATTTACATGTCCTAGGGGATGCTATGGAGAATGGCCTCTTACATGTTTGAACCAGCCTCGCCTTTGCACAGAAGGGCTCCCTGTTTTAAATGAACAGGTAGACCCAGGGTCTCAATGTTAAACCATTCTAGAATCCCTCTGCTGCGCAGCTAAATCCACGTTCTGCCTTGCAGAGAAAATATAGCAGCGCAGTGAGCCGACAGAGACCTGGGTGTCCCGAGATTCTGCTGCAACCCTTCGTTTCAGATTCTCCCTTGTTTTGACATTTCAGTGCTTAAAACGGTTGCTTGAATTGCAGGTCAAATTTCCTGGGTCATAAAGGTGAAGTGGCTGAGGAGTTTGGCATCATTATGAAAGCTCTCTGGACTGGGCAGTACCGATACATCAGTCCCAAAGATTTCAAAATGACCATCGGGAAGATCAACGACCAGTTTGCAGGATACAGTCAGCAAGATTCCCAGGAGATGCTTCTGTTCTTAATGGATGGTCTCCATGAAGACTTAAATAAAGTAAGTTTCATTTTTGGTTCCTCAGTTCACTTGGAAGGTACGGAGTTGCCAACGACAGGTATAAAATTTCACACCTTGTTTTCTGTCCTGCCCATATGTGCACCCACGCACACACAGTGTATACTTTTGGTAATGAGGAGGGTATTTATTGAAAGTGGAGGCTGACAGGGGTACTCTGAGAGCAGTGCAGAAAAGAAGCCATTTCCTGTATTTACAGCAGGCAAGTCTCCTTATTCAAACTCAAGCATTTGATTGCTGTGTTAAAGCAATTAAAAGGCCAGAGCCCATTGCGTAACGACTTAGAATTCTGCCATGCCATGTCTTTTATCATAAGACCAATGGGATCGGCAAAGACATAAATAAGAATGTAAACAAGGGCAGAATGCAGCGCATTCATGTTCCCCATTGCCTGCCTAACTGCCCGTAATAACCCTTGTTCCAGGTTACTTCAGCCCATTTTCTCTTTTATTTCGTGGGCTTTCTGTGAAATAACTTGTACACTACTTGGAACTGCCGTTCAGTCTTTCTCTCTCCTCCTTTCTATCTTTACAAATATGATGATGTCCTCTTAAGAGAGTAAGTAAACCAGTGCTTCGTCATTATTCATCTTGTGTCTGGTGCACATACGTATCTTTGGCCATGTTTTTTGTGAATGTGATAGAAAAACTTGTTCTTCATTTCATTCCCAACCGCCAGTGTGACAATTCAGTGTTCTGTGCCTTAAAACTCGAACTCAGTAGAAAGGAGATGATTATCCCACAATGTGTCTTCTCTTGGGCTTCAAATCTATTGAAATGACCCACTCTTAGCCAGGCAGCATAAGGAGTGAAATCTGGATTGTGGAAGGCATTCTGCTACTGATATAACTGGAATGTTAATTGCTTATTCCTATCAATGTAGTGCCTGCGGTGTGACTTTCAGTGGCGAATCGCTACGAATTAAATCAGAACCAGCGTTCCCTGTTACACACTTGGCCACACGAGTGGTGTGCAGTAAGAGATGCCCACACTGGAGATAGGTGCATGTGTGGCGTTGTTGTGTTCCTTCTGTCGTTCCGTACATGCACTCAGTGTTCTTGATGGCAGCTAAATTATCTGCATGTCCCACTTTCCAGGCTGACAACAGGAAGCGTTACAAAGAAGAAAACAATGATCATCTGGACGATTCCAAAGCGGCAGATCTTGCCTGGCAGAAGCACAAACAACTCAACGAGTCGATCATTGTCGCCCTTTTCCAAGGCCAGTTCAAATCCACGGTGCAGTGTCTTACGTGTCACAAGAAGTCTCGGACCTTCGAGGCTTTTATGTATTTGTCTCTTCCGCTTGCATCCACGAGTAAATGCACGTTGCAGGTGAGTTGTGTGAACACGTCGATTTGCTAGTGTGTCTTCAAACCGTGTTTTCCCAAAAGCAAAACCAGCAGAGTTCTGGAACCTTAAAGACAGACGAGTTTTATTTGGCTTGTGATTACATAGGGTTTTCCCCCCCTCAGAGGGGTGGAAACTTTTAAAAGAAATATTGATATTTTGTTTGGTTCTGGCTAAGTTGATCCGTACATCAGCCAGTGTGAAGCCCTTTCTTCTGAAAATATGAGCAGAAGTTTTTAGATCCTGTTGAATGCATTGTTCACCTTTGCTTTGGATGTTTGAATTCAAAAGATGATGTGTTTAATTTTTTGTCTAGGAATGCCTTAGATTATTCTCCAAAGAAGAAAAACTGACAGATAACAATAGGTTTTACTGTAGCCGTTGCAAAACTCGAAGAGATTCTTTGAAAAAAATAGAAATCTGGAAGTTGCCTCCAGTTCTTTTAGTGCACTTGAAAAGGTGAGTGTCAAGAGTAGCACTGCTTCTTGTCGGACAGATGGTTTAGCCATCTTCGACACACTGCAGTTTGGTGTGCTTCAGAGCAAAACAAACTCACAGGAATACACACAGCTGCCCTGCATTGGGAAGACCTTTAGTCCTCTTTATATGCTTGGTGCTGAATATCTTGACCACCCGGGCCAACTGCAAGGAAGTGATACTTGAAGAACCATAATAGGAACTATGTTGATGCAAAATGTGCTTTGATCAAATCTTCACGCCGTTTTATTTTACCATAACAGTTCCATAGTCTCGTGGCTTTAAAACCAGTATTTTTTCAGTGCTGTAGCACTCTCACAGAGACAGGCATATCTAACTCTTAATTCCTTTCGCTCATGCCTAGATTTTCCTACGACGGACGGTGGAAGCAAAAGCTTCAGACCTCAGTTGACTTCCCTCTAGAAAGCCTTGACCTGTCGCAGTATGTCATCGGCCCAAAGAGTAACTCCAAGACATACAACCTATTCGCAGTCTCTGTAAGTAAACTCCGTTCTGGAGCCTTGTCTGCCATTTCGCCCCTGTCGAATATCAGCAGCTAGGGAACCAAGTGCCAAAGGATCGCCTCTGCTATCAGCTTTTTCCCCCCTTCTGGATTATTTTTATTTCATGGAACTTGGAACAGCGGGCGGGGAAAAGCAGAAACAATGTCCCGTGTTTTCCTAATCGCACTTCTGTTCCCCGCAGAATCATTACGGAGGGTTAGACGGTGGACACTACACAGCTTACTGCAAAAGTTCTGTAAAACAACGATGGTATAAGTTCGACGACCACGAAGTCTCGGAGATCTCTTCGTCATCTGTGAAATCCTCAGCTGCGTATATCCTCTTTTACACTTCTTTTGAGCAGCGAGCTCCCGATACAGCCACATAAAGGAAACATTTGAGGAAAACTGTTGTTGTTGTTTTTTAAAGAAATGCACTCTAATTTGCTGAGCTGTGATGAGTTTCAGGTCCTTAGCTGAGTGAGGAGACGGCTGCAGCAGTTTCTCATCTGAGATGTGTCTCTTAGTGCTGTCGCTTAGATCTGAAAAACCAAATGGTTAACTCTGCTGCTTAATACTGAAAAAAATTGTTTCAAACCAACTTTAATTTTTTAGTAACGCTACAGAATTATAAGTCTAGCATAGTCCATTCAAAGGCATTAACAATGGGTTTAAGAGGTCCTAAAACTGAAGGCATATCTTTATTTCCCCTCCCACATTTATGGCCTTTTCACACTAACCTTAAGCTTGATTCCACTGTGAATATCTTAGAATGATGTGAACAGGAATGTATGTGTACATATTGACTGCAGACTTGCACATCCAAAATATGTATATAATAAAGATACGTGGTCCCTTGAGAACTAGTCCTATGGAGAGGGTTGCTTTGTTGAAATGAACGTCCGTTCTTCTATGTAGGGAAGAGCAGAGCGGCCTTCGCCGCCGCCTTCTTTTTTGTTTCTGCTTTGAGCCTTTTCTGCCTACGTCCACACTTTAAAATGTGATCTACAGGACCAAGATTTTCCTTTTTAATTTTCTAATATAAAAGTTTAATGTATTCATGTATTTTTAAAAAAAGACTTATTGAAAGAAGTAATTATTTGAAATATATAATGGCCTGATAAAATTTTCTTTGTCTGTTTTGGACTCTTGAGACCTAGACTGGTGCAACGTCACTGCTCCCTTTTGCCTACTAAAACCGTCCCGGGACCCAAATCTTCTCTCATGCCCCTGGGGTTTGCCTGTCCCCGTGCCTAACCCCTCTTCCAAGAGGCGAAATGCTTGCCTCTGGAAGTCTCCAGAGGGTCCTTGCTTTATTTACCCTGCCTTTTCCCTACCGACCCTGGTCACCCCTGGCCCTTCTCGGGAGGTTTGTCAGGGGCTTCTTGCCACTTCGCTGTTCTGTACTTGCACCCCGTCTATCTAGCGGGTGATCCAGAGTCCCCAAAATGGGGCTTGCCGCCCTCAGGCTCTCACCCGCCCAGACACCCCATTGCTTTAGCATCACAGGCAAAATAAGCTCTTGATGCTCCCCCCCCCCTTTGCAGCCGGGAGAGCTTGAGACAGATCGCTCCTCCGAGAGCTTTCCACGCCATCTCTTGTCATGGGGAGCCTGCCTTCGAAAGGGCACACCTGCCTCTGCCTTGCCTAGTCTGGAGGGTGGCTTTGGATCCTGCTCTGCATGGCTCCTGACACGCAGGCCAAAGCCAGTTGGTCCCAAAACCTGCACGCTGCTGAAGCCTGTCCGATACATGGCACCGCCCTGCTCACCCCAGGGCCCTGGGGCTCCTTCAAAAGCAAAATGGCTGGAAGGCCCACCAAGTCCACCTGGCTTGGGCACGTACAGCCACGTGCTGTATGTTCACGCTAGTGGAATGTAACATGTGTGTATGTACATTTACATGAAAGAGTGAATATAGAACACATCGTTGTACATGGTTTTACCTAGGTATATGTATTTTAATACCTGATCTACAGACATATGTATACAGACAGTATTTTATATACATGTGTGAATGGTATACAAGGATATGCATGTATTTCTTTTATAGAGACATACACACAAAACCTGCCTGCATATGTACTGACATTCAGCTACAAACACTTATATGTACACACACACACACAGAGAATTTGCATACAAACTGGTAGAAAGAGACAGATAACGTGGATGCCATCCGATACCAACGGCTCTCTCATTCTTCCCCCTTTCTTGTAACGCAATGTTCACCGCATGTAACCCATATGAAGTTAAATTAGAAGAAGCAGGCATCGTTTATCTTGGGTTTTCTAACAAGAACCACTCTACGTCCGGCTGCCTGAGAAGAATTTATTTACCTTGAGATGAGCTACATTCTGAGGAAGCTTACTGAAAAGGTGTTCACGATCATCTTTTGAACCAAGAACTATGCTATGCAGAGACCAGTTGCTCAATCACGTACTACACAGAGTCCAAGTAACATGTGAGGGAACGCAGCCGTTCGCCTTGGGAGAGGAAATCCAGCTTGGACACACTGCGAACATTTTCCGCTGTGTCGCCACTTCCTGCTTATCGGTCGTCAGGGTTTCCCTAGCCGTTTTAGTTTTTTACAGGCACAGAGAAAGTTTGACTGCTGTAGAACAGGAGATAAGCTGCAGACGTCTGCACCGCGGATTCAGGAATCTCGCTGATCTGAGAGTCGTCAAAGTTGTACCAGCTTTGAGTGAGCGTGTGTTTGCAGAACGCCGTGTAGTGGCCACCATCTAGATCTCCAAAATGGTTCTGCAACAACAAAAGAGGCAGTAAATTAAAGCTCATCGAGAGAACACTATATTTCTCTTAATTGCATTTCTCCCTGTCCTCCCTTTGAGAAGTTAAAGATGTCAAGATTTAGCTTCCCTCTTGCCTCATTGCATCCACCACTTAAAAGTGAAATTTCATTGGTTTCATGATGTACAAACTAACAGAATTTAAAGTGAGAATGGGTTCCTTTATCCAAAGCAGCAAAGCAAATCCACCCATTAAAGTTTTTGCAGCCATTTAATTCCACGTAAGCACTGGTCCCCAAAGTTTCATCTCTTAACAGCTAAAGAACAGAGAGATGAAAGACATACCTTTGTACAGGTATTGGGGATGCTTTCTAGAAAAGTAAGAATGAAATAACTTTATACGTCAACCTACCGTCACAGCAAACAAGCTGTATTTGGGATTCTTCCGAAAGAGCGGATATATGTAAGGAGACAAATCCAGGTTATTTATTGGATAGTAGATGTCAGTGGTCAACTTCTTTTTGTAACTGCCTTGACAGTCAAACCTGAAAGTAATTTAAGATATTAAAAATGCCTTGTGCCAATACTTGTTTACTTCTTGTCTTTTAATGATGTAAGCTGCCTTGGGTCCCTTTTAAGAAGAAAGGTAGGGTAAATAAATATTTTTAAAAGGTGGAAAAGTTTGCCTTGGGATTCTCTGAAATCCAAAGAACACCCTGGACCATTAAGGAGCATTTTATATACAGTTTGGCCTCATGTTTATTTTCAGGTGCTTGGAACGCTAGAGTGAAATTAATAGTATGTTTTCTGTGTGAGAGAAGCATTGATGGCCTCTGGTGGGAGCATGCTTTGTTCTGGCGAATCCCTTTGTCGGGAACAGAACAGGCCACAAAAACACTTCTAGAACAAGATGCAACTGAAGCGCTGAGCTCTACGAGGACGTCCGGGACCTCAGATCTCAAACTCTAGCTGAAGGACATATCTCTCATCACAGTGTTGTGGACAGACGGACGTGTTGTGGACAGACAGACAAGGACACCGTCACAGCCCGACGGCAATCTTTGCCTTTAGTCCAAAATAATACTGAGACAGTGCACCTAATTAACTCTCTAAATTAATATCCCCCCCCAGTCGATAATAAACCACCTGCAAGGAAGATCTGTACCTCTTGAGATGGAAGATCACCATCTTTGGGGCCCTGGCAATACTGGCTTTCACGGCCGCATCGGTCTTCCTTTCACAAGAGGAGCAGTTGATCTGGTTGTTCCACGTCAGCATATCTTGCTGGAAGAAGCAGTCCAGGCATTCCTGAGACACACGGGGTTTCAAAAACAGAGGTGGGCACTTCTCGCGATAGCAGTCTACCTGCTGGGTGCTGTGCCCAGAGTTCACCGCAGTGGGGGAACTGGGAAGCCACCCAATATATTGTGTTGGGGTTTTTCAGGTGCACCGTAGCTGTTTAACGGACCACTGGGACCCTTCAGATAATGCTCTGCCTGCCCTAGTCAGGCTCTGCCTGCCCTGTGTTGTCAGGACTGTCGTCCACTTACAAAGCGACTATGACCCAGCTGTGTTCCAGCCTGCTGTTGGGGAAATGGCCGTGAAGGAAGCGGCTTGGAATAGGTTCGTGCCCAACTACAAGCCTCCGTCACCAGCTTGCCATCCCGTGCGAGAAAACCGGGTCTGCTGAGCCAGTCTTTCCAGTAGAGGCAGCTTTTGAAACATGTTGAATATAAGAGTACCTTGTTTGCGGTAAAGGGGTTAAACCAAGTTAGTTCCCCAATAACGTGTTCTGAAGGATAATGTTTAAAAAGTTCAGTTTGGGCAAGGTCTTTTCAAGGGAATCTGATTAAGTTATCGGACTCAAGTGTTTCCGAAGACAACACGACAGTTGAAGGAAGCAGGATCAGGAACTAAAAGGACAAAGAAGGTCTGCCTTGTGTTATCCGGATTTCTAGGGTGCTGCTATCGTTTGCATGAGCTTCCGCGTAGAATTCGAGGCATACGTGCAGCATAAAAATGCTAAGACCGATCACCGGTTTGAAAGCCACAGGCCAGATCGATAAACTGGCTGTATCAAAAGTATCAGATGGATCCAGCAAAGAGTTCTGCACATCTAGGCAGAGAAAAATATTTGTATCTATGCTTCTTCCTCCTTCAGCATGACCAGTTTTACAACCACTGCCGGTGCACCCACAACAGGATGAAATCTGACAATTTCTCGCTCTCTGGAGACATCGAAGAATTTCAGCACTAATGCTAGGGGACAGCTCCCAGATTTCACTGGGGAAATGTTCACTGTGCATGATTGGAAAACAACCAAGACATACAATCTCCCTTTGTTAGACTAGGCCTTTTCTGGTGTTTTTTTTTTTTTAAATACGCACAAAAGCCTGTGATAGTTCTCTGAAATATATAATAACTAACTTTCCCCCACCCTCCACTCCCCTATCACTGCTGGAATGTACATTTAATGTGCAAAAGTCTGGATTCCTTTCTAGCCTAGATAAAACCCCACCCAGCAGGCACACACTTCATTCAAAGCATGCTATTCGTAAATGAAACAGAAGTTGCTCGAAATCCAAACCTCGATCCACACCCGACTTGCAAAACTCTGTGTCCTCACTTGCAAACCTTAGGGGCAGAAATGCTTCTTGCCGCTCAAGTGACAAGAGGGAACTACAGGGGGTTCTTTTCTTCCGCGTTTTGGGGGGGGACTCCATACCTCCAGCGAGCATTCCGTTTCATAAGGGATGGGAAGCGACAAGACGGTGAAGATCTCGTTTTTGTAAGTGGTGGTTTGACATTCCAAACACATGATGTCGTAACTAAGATGTCCTTCAAAAAGCCGGGTGATGATGGAGGACTCGGTGACACAACTCCGGGATTCCCAAGCAGTAGACGAGGTCCCGGGGTTTCTCCTCCTGCTTGTCTGCAAAGGACAAAATTCATAACAACACAGGGAACCTTGACCCCCCCCTTCCATTTTTTATGCTAGACAAATTGCGGTGTTGAGCCACAAGAGCTGAATGGGTTGGTAAAAGTCAAGTGCAACTGAACTAAAAAAAATGCTGAGATGTGTGATGAGCAGAAGCAACCGCTCTGGTTTTATAAACAGTGGAGAATATGGATGAGGACTGATGATACCAACAAATACTGTAACATGACTTGAAAGCACCAAGAAAAAGGAAGGTGGTTAGGGAGAAGGGAAGGCAGGACCGTGCTTAGCGATCCCTCGTTGATGAGATGTGGCTCCGAGGTTGAAAAATATGGCAATGGCAGAGTTTGACTTAAGAACAGAAGAAGCTGCCTTTGGTTGACCCAAACCCTTGGTCTGCTGAGTTCAGTGTTGCCAACACCGACTCAACAGCCAAGGCGCTCCAAGATTCTGGGCAGAACGTAGTCCCTAGCTGTACCTAGGTCAATGAAGACTGAATCTGTGAACATCTGTCTACGAAGGATGTACCCACGCCCTGAGCTGTCTGTCCCTGATCTGTACACACAGAGCCGTACGGGCACCCCAGCCAGGAAAAAAAAAGTTCAATGCAAAATGCTCAAAGATACATATTGCTCCCAGCCTCTTGTTCAAGAAGACAGTGAAAGGACTCACCTTCTTGAGGGCTTCGTGCAGCTCATTGAAGACATAAATCAGAAATTCCTGGGCATCCTGCTGGGTCTTCTTGATGAAGGCAGGGTATCGTTCACCAATGACCAATCGAAACACCTCCGGCGATACGCAGTCAAAGTCCCCGAGCCACATGTCATTCATCAAATACGCAAAAGCTGTTGCGATCTCGCCATTTTCCCTTCCAGGTGAAAAGGATGATACGGATGGTTTTGAACAAGCAGGTCTTCAAAGACGGTCCCTTTCCTCCCCAGGGTTTAGTGGCCAGTTCAGCCACTCTGGACCTCTGAGCTGGTTTCATATATCTTGTTTCGGCACTGCATTCCATCTTCAGTCCTAGCTATTGCCCAATTAAATCTAGCGGTCGACCACATTTGCCCATTATTATTCTAGCTATATTTCCAGGGTTGGGGAAGGATCCATCTCGACATTTATTATTTTTTCTCCCCAAAAGTGCTAACCTCCGTTTTTGTTCTCCCTCTGCACACACTTTCTGTCAAATGCGTCCTCACTTCTTAACCCTACATATCTCCAAATCTCTCTCTCAAAAAAACTTCACTGCTTTAGGAAAACGTTGGCAGCAAACAAACAAGCAGTCAAAGTGAATTTTTTGTACAGGAAGGCCCCCCACTTACTTGCTGAGAGAGGCCACGTACTTTCCAGACAGGAAGTACTCCACCAGGGGCGACACGCTGCAGAGGCACTGGATCACGGCATTCATGTAACACGTGTTGCCAAGGTTTCGCAGGCCGGTAAGGCCTTGGTACTGTGGGTTTGTCTCCTCTCTCAATTCATCCATGGGCTCCTCTGGTGCCTCCAAGGGAAGGACTCCCTTGCTATATTAAGTTTGCCCCGATACGAACAAAGAAATATTACATTATTAAAATGACAAATTTGAAAGGTTACTTTTCCAATTCACCTGAGCGAACATCTCCCTTAAGTCAATACAGCTGACTTCCAGACAGACCTCCACTGGACTGCAGTGCGTGCCACTCCAGGGAAACAATCGGGCATGCCTGCGTTCAGCGACCTCTCTCACTTAGAAGAACAGTACTCCAATAAAAATCCAAATAAAAAAGGTGACTCGGGCATGTCACAGCACCACCGATCGGCTGGAGTCGGGTGGAAATCAAACTGAGACAACGAAGACTGAGAAGACGCCCGATGAAAATGTTATAGACATCTTTTAGTGTCAAACACAGGCAAGGCTGCTCCATGGGAGCAAAGCTTCTCATTCCTTCCAAGGGAACGAAAAGCAGCCGCTGCTTGGAGTTTCCTGAATTTGAAATCTAAACCCTCTGGAGAAACCGACTGAGAGAAGTGAGAGACCGTCTGATCAGAACCAAAGAGCAAACGTCAAGAGCTTCATCTGTCAAGACAGAGGACTAAAGCAACATTTCTGGTTATTTTTACTTCTATCTGTTTGGTAGCACAAGACCCAATTCCAGAACCAAAGAAATGCAGGGATTTCTCCGTGCCCCCATCACCTTCTTATCCTCCTTTTACTTCTTCTATCTGTTTGGTAGCACATGACCCTAATTCCAGAACCAAAGAAATGCAGGGATGTCTCCGTGCCCCCATCACCTTCTTATCCTCAGCCAATTGACAGTAACAAATGTTTAAAAGAAACTCACAGAAGGCAATAGATGCTGAAGTCGTCTGGCATGTTGGTTGACCTGGAAGCCATCTGCCGCCTTGCAAGGAGACAGAGCGGCGGGGTGCACTGACTGACGTACAGTATATCTGAAGGAGAGACGGCTTACCACCTCCTCTTCATTTTGAGGCTTGCCTTTTCCTGCTTTCTTGCACAAGCACACGGTTTCATCTTACACCTACTCAGAGGATCCCAAATGCATGGCCTTCCGTGCCTTGGCCGAGGGGGGGGGCTCTTGGTACTTGCTGCTCGTTGGTGTTCCAGTAGAATTTTTTTCTACCATCACATTCTGTCTTGTTGCTAGGTGACGGCTTGGGGATTCCTCTATCCAACAAGGCCGAAGGGTTCTAGAATCCGGATCCCTTTGGAGACAATTCCAGTCCATGGTCGCCCTTCTGGCTCCACCAGTTGGATCGATGACATTTTCTCACGATTGTTTCGATTCAGCAGCCAGAGGTGTCAGGATTCTGGCCTTGTTGCTGGGGCTCTTCTTTGCCTAAAACAGTATGAACAATGCCAGCACCTGTTTGCGAATTGGGGGCTGGAGATGACCTAAAATGAAGGTACAAACTTGAGAAGCAGCCCTACCTCAGATGCGGTCAGAGCTTACTATCGCAAGAACGAGACACAGGGATTGTACTGAAACATACACAGCGATTTGCAGCAATTCAGGAGACATGCCGGAAGCTGGAAACACGGCACTCCAAAGGATTTTCAAGTCAACAAAATCGTGTTAGTTTTTACCTGCCCATGGTGAGATCAAATGAAATAAGAAAGGTGCTCAGCGGTCTAGACAAGAATAAATTTATTTGGGATTGCTTAAAGATTTATTGATATACAAAATGTATACATTTTTATATCTTTAATACACTATACCTTTCCTCCCCCAGCGACATAAACCACCATTTAAACAGCTACTGTGTTCGTGCCATAACGTCTGTATCTATAAGATACACTACAGATTTTTTTAAAAAAAGAATTACTGGGCGTTTATGATGCCTTTCAATTAAGAATTACAATCCGTACCTATGTAACAAAACAAAACAAAAAAAAACAAGTTGCAGCATGAAACTTCAGTTGGACAATGGGTTCTTGTTGAATATTCAACAAATCTGGGACAGATAAATTACATTTTATTGGCATAAAGTTGCATTGCAATCTCCCGTACATTACATAAAGTCAATCCAACCCTATTTTATATTCTTTTAAATAAGTTCCATATATAACATAACATTAAAAGGTGTTTTCACACAATATTAAATATTAACTCGGAGGGGGGCCCTTCCAATGTTACTTTGGGTGACACGGGACGGAGCGCCCCAGACGGCTGTGAGAAGACCCTTGGGCTCTGGAGAGGCACACACTCCGTGGAGTTCTTTTCCTGCACGAACGTGGCTTCTGGCGGAAGGGGTGGCAACACCCCTGGAGCCAAGAAGCCCCAGCACCGAATGCCACCTCTCTCGGCCTGGAGCTTCTGATGCTTCTCGAGCAGCAGGGACAGGAAGAACAGGGTGAGGCCAATCCCACCCCAACCCCATCGTGCAGGTGGGTCACACCACAAAGGGCCCTAAGAAATTCACAGGTATATTCAGCATTTCATCCATCCTGGTCTTAGGACATCTTTGGAAGGCAAGTGTCCTGAAGCAGCTGCTAGGTAAACCAAGCCAACAAAAAATGACAGCGACCCCCAAACCCCTGCTTGTTTTGCAAGGCAACGTTGCATCCAAGGCCAGCTTTCTGTCCTATTTCATTCTGCTGTTCAAGTGTGAATAAACCATATCCCCCCCCGCCCCCCCCTACACCTTTGAGGCTTTAGAACCAGTTGACATTGACTTGATAAAAGTGAAATGTGTCATCTTCTCTTTCCCCCCCCTCCCCTAAAATAATTTCATTATGCATAATCCACCCCATGAGAACTGGCTCCATACTTCTGAAGATGAATCCTGATGCAGGAAACAAACTTACCACCTCTTGCTCAGGACCAGCAAGGCCTGACCAGCTCGGCTTACTGGCATGCATGAAAGACGGACAGAGCAGGTTCGATCCACGGGGCCACCTTTGATTGTACACGGCCCTGACCTGAGCGTATGTATCTGAAGCAGCCTGAAAAGGGTCAAAGAATCCTTCAGTATCTGTGGGAAAGGGGGTGGGGTGGGGCTCCTTCCCATTTCTTTAGCCAGGTGGCAGAAACCAGCTGCCGCAAAGCTCAGAACGCAATCTGCCTTAAAACCATCAAAACCAAAAAATGTCATTTGATAAGGGCATACTGGAAGTAAGGACATATTGCACTAGAGGGTTAAAGCACAGGGGGAAGATCCCCACCACGGACCAAGATAAAAGGGAACGTGGCATTTCTGCTAAAATGCCTCTTTTAAAAATGCTGTTTCATAAAGACTTCAGTCCATTGCAGCTTTTTAAAAAAGAGCAGGGGGTGGGAAATGATCCCTTGCCAGCTTCTCTTCCACGGCGGATTCCCCCATTTCTCTCAGGTCCATCTCATTCAGGCCAATTTCCTGTCCCGAAGTCCCCAAGACATCGTGGTCCTTATCCAGGGGGCCTTTTGTGGGGTTCCTCTGTTTGTTCTGATGAAGCATCCTATCAAATGACCGTGCAGGAAAAAGAAGGGCCAAAAAGCCAACCCTGTTGACTTCTGAAAACCAGAGAGCGGCGCATAGCGCTACAGCATCAAGTGACTGGAACGAGCAGAGGCCGAGGACTCTTTGGTGCAACTCCCAGGCTGAAGGGTCAGTTCTGGAGAATCGTCCTGAGGCAGCAGGATTTTGTCGGGTGTGTAGTCATTCCTTTTCAAATCTGGTCAAAAAGGAAGCAAAACCACAACAGACACAAAGTGTTATG